TCAGAAGGTAGTATATGAACAAGAATGTGTGATACTGAGGAAAGACATCCAGGCTACATTGGCAAAAAAAATACCCCCAAAGTTCAAGGATTGACAGAAAACAAAATGAAATCTCCCCAAAAAACTGACAGAGTTGAAAATGCTTAATTAAGGCAACACAGTTCAAAGAAAGGTGACTGTACAGAATTTGGAAATTATCATACAATGTCTATGTAGAATAAGCACTGAATTTCAAACTACAAAGTTGGAGGTTTGAACCCAACTGCTGCTCCTCTGGAGAGAGAGAGATGAGACTTTCTTTACCCACCTTGAAGTCCAGCACATTTACCCACAGCACCACACCAGAACTTCTCAGAAACCCTATTCAGTGTCACTGTGAGTTGGGATCAATTGAACAATATTTTACAAGAAGAAAATCATTAACGTTACCCACAAGTAAAATGTGTTGTTGTTAGGTGTCATTGAACATGTTCCAACTCATAAAGACCATATGCATGACTAATGGAAACTCTGACCAAACTGCACCATTCTCACAACTGTTGTGTTTGTGCCTGTTGTTGCTACATTTCCAAGTAAGATGTCCTTCTCCAGGGACTGGTCCCTCTTAATAATATGTCCAAAGTAGGAGAGACAAAACCTCATCATACTTGCTTCCTAGGGACATCTGGCTTTCCTTGTTTTAACACAGATTTGTTTGTTCTTTTGGCCATCTATGGTATTTTCAATATTCTTCTCCAACACCACAATTCAAATGTGTCAATTCTTCTATGGTCTTCTTTATTCATTGCCCAACTTTCATATGTATATGAGAAAACTGAAAATACCATAGCTTGGGTCAGGCCTGCTTATGTTCTCAAACTGACGTCTTTGCTCTTGAACACATTAAAGATGTCTTTTGCAAAAGACTTGTCTAATGCAAGCTTAATGCATCATATATTGTCTGAGCTATTGATTATTGTTTCCATAAGCATTGATTATGGATCCAAGCAAATAGAAATCTTTGACAGCTTTGCTGTCTTCCAATTTATCATGATGTTATTTATTGGACCAGAGGTGAGGATTTTCATTTTCTTCACATTGAAATTCAAGCCATACTGAAGGCTGTCTTTGAACTTCATCAGTAAGTATTTCAAGTCCTCTTTACTTTCAGCAAGCAAAGTTGTATCATCTTCATATCACAGTTTATTAATGACTCTTCTTCCTAGCCTCATTCCACCTTCTGCTTCATATAATCTACCTTTTCAGATGCTAGTCACGAAGACTGAATAAATATGGTAAAAGTATACATCCCTGACACACACTTTTCTGATTTTAAACCATGCAGCAGCATCTTGTTCCCTTTTAACAACTGCTTTTTGATAACGGTTTATTATTGCTCCAGTGGGAGGATTTTTGTTTTCTTTACATTGAGGAACAACCCATACCAAAGGCTTTCATCTTTGATCTTCATCAGTAAGTATTTTAAGTCCTCTTCATTTTCAGCAAGCAAGGTTGTATCATCTGCATATCACATATTGTTAATAAATCTTCCTCCAATCCTGGTGCCATGTTCTTCTTCATATAATCAGCTTTTTGGATTATGTGCTCAGCATGCAGATTGAATAAGGAGCTCTGATAGCATAGTGGTTACGAATTGGACTGCGAAACTTAAAGTCAGCAGTTAGAAACTACCAGCTGTTCCCTGGGAGAAAGATGAGGCTTTCTGCTCCCATAAAGATTTACAGCCTTGGAAACCCTGTACAGGGTCACTATGAGTCGGAATCGAGTCCATGGCATGTAACAACAACAACAACAACTACAATGCGGATTGAATAACTATAGTGAAAGAATATAACCCTGGCGCATATCTTCCCTGATTTTAAACCATTCTGTGTTCTCTTGTTCTCTTTGGACAACTGACTCTTGGGCTATGTATGCATGTGTACCTCCTGAGCACAAGTAAGTGTTCCAGAATACTCATTCTCTGTAGTGTTGTCCACAGCTGTCATGATCTACACAATTGAAAGCCTTTTTGTAGTCAATAAAGCACAGGTAAATATCTTTCTGTATTTCTCTATTTTAAAATACACTATTTTTGGAATTTGCTTTATAGACTTTAGGGCTTTGTCATTGAATGCAAAAATATTTATAATTCATCTTTTGGTTAACTGTTGCTTTTATCATTATATAATACGCTTCTTTTTCTTATAAAATGGATTTTGACTTAAAAATCCTATATTGCCACACCTCCATTACGGTTACTATTTACTAAGTATTTTTGTTTGTTTTCCTATACTTTGATTTTTTACCTATTTGTATCTTTGTACTGATACTATGTTCTTTGTAGGCAATATTTGAAGATTATTTAAAATATTTTTTTCTTTTTTATCCATTTGACCATTCTCTGTATACTTGTGCATTCTCAGACAGGAAAGAATTTACCATTCATTTTGTTATACATTCTTATTTAATGTGGCATTAAGGGTTTCTGTGTTTTTCTTTACTTGCTGTGCTGAATTCTTTTTGTATATGAGTGTTTTATCCCTATTTCATATTATCATTGTCACTTTTGTGTTTATAAATGCTTTGCTTTTCTTCTTGTCTGTTTTAGAGAATACATTCAAAAAGTGTCTTTGTGATTACCATTAGACCAACATTTCATGTTCTATACTTAAAGCAATCTGTCACATCTTGAAATCACCTCAACTTCCTCACATATGGAAGTTCATCCCTGCACCAATCATTTACCATTTTATTTTGATGTTGTCATAGATTACAACCATAATCATGGTTTAACTGCATTTCACTGTTGTGGTGTCCCTGCCTATCTTGGTATTAACGTGATGATGCCGTGTTTCTTTACCTCTGGTTGTTGTCTAATGTCATGACTTTCCTATTTGAAATCCTTGTTTTCATATTTCTTGTAGCCTTCTCTTGTGGTTACAAATTCCCTTAATTTCTACTTATCTGAGAATTTTGAAATTTCTTCCCCCCCCCCTTTTTTTTAGTGTCAGAATTAAATTTTATTTCACATTGATAGAAATCTTGAAAAAGATTTACATTTTCCCATGTTATAACATGATATTTCAGCAGAATAAGACATTTACTATAAATATATTGCTGATTTGTATAACTAAAGTGTTTATATTCTTCAGAGTAAAGAAAATTACTTCATAAATGATTGTACATAATTTTGAAATCCAGATATAAACATATGGCTTCATTATATACCTTTCTACATTGAGTTATAGTATTGGAGGAGAATATATATACCTATCTACATTGAGTTATGGTATTGGAGAGAAATATTGAAAGTGCCATGGGCTGCCAAAAGAACAAACAGATTTGTGTGGGAAGACGTGCAGCCAGAGTGCTCCTTGGAGGCCAGAATAGCCAAACTTCATCTCTCATACTTCAGATATATTGTCAGGAAGGACCAGTCTCTAGAGAAGGATCTCATGTTTGGTAAGGTGGAGGGTCAGAGAAAAAGAGGAAGACCCCAGCTAGATGGATTGGCAAAGTTGCAACATCAATGGGCTCAAGTGTGGCAACAATTGTGAGGTTGGCCCAGAATTGGACAGTGTTTCATTCTGTTCTTAGGGTCACTATGTGTCAGCACCTACTCGATGGCACCTAACAACAACAACAACATAATATATTACTAAATTATTTCCATTATCAGTTAGCACCCATTTATAAAGATGCATTCCTGATACAGTTCTGATCAGCAGAAAAATTAACAACAGTTCAGAAATAACAGGCATACATTTCTGCTACATATTAAACTGTCTTGTAACTACACCATATGTATAGGGTTTTAACTAACCTTTATTGTCCATTAAATTTTGTTTTTAAATAATTTTTATCAGTCATCTGAAAATTTTGACTAAAGTAAGTTTCAGGTAAGTTCATTGCCAGATAGAAATAAAGTACATTTTTCTTAAACATTGCTAATTTTCCATAGTAGTTGGTTTCAGACATACCCAAAAAATAAGTAAACTCAATGCTACAAGAGTCATCTTAGACCAAATTATCTAAGATTGAAATCTTAAGTATTTTATAACAAAGAATATGACCTAATTCTTTCACATGATTACAAAAACAAAATACACAGAATTACTCGTGTTAAGTGGATTGAAAATTCACGTGGATTGAAAATTAAATAAGTCTAAATTTGGACTAAGGTACAGTTTCAGAAATAAGTACTGAAGAGGTTTTAAGTGATGTCTCACTTCTTTATACAAGTATAAATGCATTTAAAATACCAAATGTCTGTGGTTTAGAATATTGAATTACAGCAAATATCTATGGCAGAGAGGCAATATTTGGTCTTTTACAAAGGATAATACAGGAAGAACACATTTCTAAAGAGGAAAAAATAATATTCAATAAAAGATATCAAAGAAAAAAAAGGAAAGAAAGAAAAGAAAAGGCAAAAAACCTGTTCTCCAAAATAAAAGGGTCAGTAATTGAGAACTATTTCATTGACACATAAAAGCATCATTTCTACTATTAGAAATAATGTGATACCATCTCATTCTTATTTTGCATTACATTCATTGTGTATACATACATATATACATATATATAGAGAGAGAGAGACTGTGTACTTACTAAGCAGTCTTGAAATAAATCCATAGTCTAAGCCACAGCATGCATAACTGTTTATAACTGTTCATTTATACATGAACGCATTTTCAAAAATCATACTAATAAATTTCAAATAATATAATAAAAATCTAGTTACAGTATTCATTATTTTACTGAATTACATTTGAGAAAAATATGCCAGTTGCTTAACCTATTTAATACTAGTGTATTCTGAATCATAATAGGCAAACACTTGTCTAGAAGCTTAAAAGATCTCAAATTTCTCATGAAGAAACATTTAGTCTGTCATTGGCATGTATTTGTAAAACATTTTAACGCTGCAAGCATGAGAAGTTTCAGACTTGGGCAGGCACGTGAACAGTTTCTATATATGATGCTGGTGTACTGCCACATGAGGCCTCTTAGCAGAATCAGTGCATGGGAGGTAGGAGTTTTTCAATGAACTGCTTGACATCCATCATTTCCTGTTGACACGAACTATGCATCATGCATTCATAGGTCTTGAAGGTTACATTGGCTGGATTTACTAATGTTTATAGCGTAGTGGTTACGAATCGGGCTGCGAACCTTAAGGTCAGCAGTTCGAAACTACCAGCTGCTCCGCGGGAGAAAGATGAGGCTTTCTACTCCCGTAAAGATTTACACCCTCGGAAACCCTGTACCGGGTCGCTATGGGTCGGAACCGACTCGACGGCACTTAACAACAACAACAATAGCTTTTCCACAGTAAGAAACACAAACATTAGAGGGACTGAAAGGTCACAATCTCCATGGCACTGAAGAATAGAAATATCTTTATTAACTCCATTGATAGGACACTGAGGAAATGAGGACCAAAGTGGGAACCAGCAACTGAGTTTGATGACGCTGCTAGTTTTTATTGTGGTAAGAGCAGCATATAAAGACAGATTTCCTTTTCCTTGAGAAAATCCTCCCAAATTAATTCTGTTAGAAGGAATTCCGTTCTTGGCCTCTTGATCTATCAAAACTTTGACGTTTTCTGCTGCTTCCTTGATTCCATTTTCATCCTTCTGTGAATCTGGTGAAAGTCCAATAAATAATATCAAATCAAGAAGGCATAGTCATTTTTATATTTAATGTAACAGGCATAGCTGGTGTGTGTGGGCAGATATATTTGATGTGTGAACATTTGACACCTGCAAAGGCTTCTGCCCATCCATGCCTTGTATCTTCCAATCCATGAAGGAAAATAATCACTGCAGAAGCCTTCCAGACAGCGGACACTATGGCTGGGAGTGAGCAGGACATGTTACTGCCGCACATACACCAGCTCCAAGACCTCGTGTCAGAAGTGGAAGGGAACTCTCCCTCACTTTTAAGTAACAGTTTTGATGGCTGTATAATTCTTACTTGACAATTCTCTTCCTATAGGTTTTGGTATATGTTTCATTGCCTTTTTGCTTGTATAGTTAATGGGGAAAAAAATCAGTGCTCAATCTTATTGGATTCCCTTTGTAGATTATATATATATTTTTTCATTGGATCTGGGAAATTTGCTTGTGTCATATTTTGGTGTATTTTTTTTGTGGGCCAATACTTTTTTAGTTCAATAAGCTTCTTGGATGAAAACCTCATTTTTCATGTTTGGCAAGTTTTCTGTGATTTTATTTAAATATATATATTTCTCTACATTTTTCTCTCTTTTTCTACTATGAATCCTGATGTGAATTTGTTTTTCTTCTTGATGGTATCCCGCATTACCTGTGGGCTTTCTTAATTTATATTAAAACTTTTAATTTTTTTATTCTTTATGCAGAAAAATAGTAAAGGTTTTGTTCTTTGTTTTACTCTGTCTGCCATCTGTTGTTTCAGTTCCAGGCTGTGTACTTCACTGAGTAGTTGTTTTTATGATTTTATTGTTAAACGTCTGAATTTCTAATTGTGTTTGTGATTCTATTATTTTAAATTGAGTTTGTCTTTATGTTCCTGTATTTTTCTACTTAATTCATCTAGAAGTTTTCATGTTTTCCATGAAGACTTGATGTGGCACGGTAGAATTAGCATTTGACTGCTAACAACAACGATGACAGTGCAAACCACCAGCTACTCTTTGGATACGCTATACAGAGTCACTGTGAGTTGGAACAGACTCAGCAGCACTTAATAACCACAATTTAACACTAGGTTTTGAAACCTTTGTCAGGTAGTTCTATTATTTTTCTTTTTCTGAGACTTTCTTTGCCCTTCTATTTTGTTTGTTTGTTTGAGCCATCTTTTTTGTTTCTTCTTATAATTTGTCTTTGTTACAGTAAAGTTTTGATTTATATACTTATATATTTCTTCATTGATTATCCTTGCCTTTATTTTGTTTTGATATACCAGGGACTTAGCTTTCATACCTTCTTCTTTATATTGCCTATCTTCCTTTTTATTATTTTGATGATTGCTCCTTTATAATACTGATTTATATAAAACTTTGCTGCTTTTGGTTGACTGGGTGTGAATTCCTCTCACTGGTCAGTATGGTGGATCTTACATGCACAGGAGTCCTCTGTCATTAGCCACCTATGTTTTCCCTTAGAGGGTTGGGTGGAGGTGTGGGGACAGATCCCTTTCCTGATGAGAGGAACCAGGTGTTGGGCGGTCAGGATTTGCCACAGCTTTAGAGGGACAGTGTGATTCTTTCAAATTGCTACAAGCAGTACAACCATTGAAGAGCAAAACAGGTTGTCTTCATAGTCACGGGGAGGCAGTGTTATGCAAAGGTAGAGACAGATCTGCACAGGCATAGGTTAGTATCACAGTGGGCAGGGAGGACAAGAGGTCACCATGTATGTGTGGATGGCCGTCGGGTATGTGTCTTGTCGTTGGTGGTCTGGGTGGGGTAGGCTATGGAAGTACAGAAGTTCTGGCTTAAATGGCTGGTTGGGGTAGAGCCTGCTCAATTGAGAGAGGAAGAAATGGGATAGCCTAGGTGTAATTTGAGGTGGTATCTAATTATTACTCTGTGGTTCTATTCTTCAGTGTACATCTCCCTTCTATTTGGACAGTCATTGCCACTTAGAACTATTCTCATCACTGGTTGCTATCTCCCATGCTTCTCTGAACTTGATCAGGATACTGAACTACTGTCTGACCTTCTTGTATTTGAGCTTTACCCCTCTTCAAATGCACACTTCCTATTTTAGTCTCCATTCTGAGGAGACTAAATACCCACCTCCCTGGGTATTCCTGGTATCCGAGTTATAGCATTCTCACACATTGCCTTCCCTGGCTGGTTCACCCACCTCACATGCAGCCACTTTAATTCTTTCCTGGTTGGGTTACACATAAATCTGCTTCTGACTGTGATTTCTGTGAGGTTACTCTTTTGGGCTTCTTATCTGGGGATATTGCGGGAGAAAAATGAGGCTTTCTACTCCCGTAAAGATTTACACACTCGGAAACCCTGTACAGGGTCACTATGGGTTGGAACCGACTCGATGGCACTTAACAACAACAACAATCTGGGGATATTATTTGCTGCTATGCCAAATTGTCTGCACTGAACAAGACTAACAACCATGGCATCGATGACCTATGAATCTCTGTTTTCCTACTATTTTGGTTGTAGCTCTTCTTCCAAGTTTTGCACTGATTTTTCAGTGTTTATGTTTGATATTCAGGAATCCAAGGCTGTAATTTGTATCCATTTTACTTTGTTTCTTGAGTCTTTGCTCTATGTTTAAATATTAGAATTTGCCTATTAAAAAAAAATCTTAACTGTAAACCCTTAGAATTTATTCAGTGTTTATAAATACTACTGTATTTTTAATTTCACTGTTACATGTCAAAACACAATTGATTTTTCTATAAATATCTTGTATACTGGCCAACTGATAGGAAGACATCTGTATTTGTGCCCATTCCAAAGAGAGGTGACCCAAGGGAATGTGGAAATCATTAGACAATATCTTTGATATCCCATGTGAGTAAAGGTTTCCTAAAGGTAATGCAGAAAGGCTACAACCTTCCATTGACAGAGAACTTCAAGAGGTTCAAGCTGGATTCAGAAAAAGACATGGAGTAAGAGATAACATTACTGATGTCTAATGGATGGTGGCTGAAAGCAGAGAATACCAAAAAGATGTTTGCCTGTGCTTTATTGACTATGCAGAGGCTTTCAATTGTGTGGATCATGACAAGCGATGGACAATATTGTGAAGGATGAGTATTCTGGAACACTTAATTATGCTCATGAGAAACCTGTACATAGACCAGTGCAACCGTGTTGTATTCTTTCACCATACTTATTCAACCTGTATGGTGAACAAATAATCCAAGAAGCTGGGTTATATGAAGAAAAATGTGGCATCAGGATTGGAGGAAGACTCATTAACAAACTGTGATATGCAGATGATACAACATTGCTTGCTGAAAGTGAAGAGGACTTAAAATACTTACTGACGAAGATCACAGATCATAGCCTTTGGTATGGATTGCATCTCAATATAAAGAAAACAAAAATCCTCACTACTGGACCAATAAACAACATTCTTATTAATGGAGAAAAGATTGAAATTGTCAAATACTTCATTTTTCATGGATCAACCATCAATACTCATGGAAGCAGTAGTCAAGAAATCAAATTATATATTTCATAAGGCAAATCTGCTGCAGAAGGCCTTTTAAACGTGTTGAAGAGCAAAAATATCAGCTAGAGAACTAAGGTATACCTGATCCAAGCTATAGTATTTTCACTAACCTCATATGTATATGAAAGTTGGACAGTGAATAAGGAAAATCATAGAAGAATTGATGTATTTGTGATATGGTATGGAGGATAGTATTGAAAGTGCCATGGACTGCCAAAAAAACAAACAGATCTGTGTTGGACGCAGTACAGCCAGAGTACTCTTTGGAGCCCAGGATGGCCAGATCTCATCTCTTATACTTCGGACATATCGTCAGGAGGGATCAGTCACTAGACAGGGATATCATGTTTGGTAATGTGGAGGGTCAGAGAAAAAGAGGAAAACCTCCAATGAGATAGATTGGCAAAGTGGCAGCATCTTTGGGCTCAATCGTGGCATCAATTGTGCCAGGACCAGGCAGTGTTTCGTTCTGTTGTACATGGGATTGGATGAGTCGGTAATGACTCAATGGCCCATAACAACAATAACACTCTTGTATACTGATACTGTCTAATTCACTTATTAGATCTAGAAAGAGAAATAGTGGTTAAAGAAGAACACCAAAGACAGTTTCAATTGTGTGAGTGAAGCTGCAGTAAGGTATTTTCATTAGATGAAAAAAATGATGAGTTTATATGAGATTAATGGGCTCAAGCGTAACAACGAATGTGAGGTTAACGCTTGACCAGGCAGCATTTCATTCTTTTGTGGATAGGATTTCTATGAGTTGGTACCAACTTGTTGGCACTTAACAACAGAAAAAAGAGTCTAAAGATGACTATGCAAGGACAGTTTTGCTGGGGAGAGAGAATGGGTCAAAGGCAAAAAAACAAAAAACAACTAAAAAAAAAAATTGATTCCAATTAGACAGGGAAATATTAAGGCCCAGAAAAAATGCAGAAAGATTGGAAGAAATGTAGGAAACATAGAAATATGAAAGGTTAATTAATGACTTATAAGAGGAAGAAAATGGGATGGAAGGATAAGAAGCAGGGGGAGTTGTAGAGAAGTCTACCTAGCACAAAACACTTTATTTCCAACATCTTCATGTGTAATATCCTCCTATTTCCACTGATACATTGATGTGTGTGTCATGAATGGTGCTGTATAGCAGAGTCCAACTTCCTTTACTTTGTCTAGCTAATCTCAGCCACCCCTTTTGAACTTTGAAAAAGTAAAAAAAAAAAAAAAAAAAAAAAAAAAGCTAATATTTTACTGGGACTGAACTGAACAGTACCTATTAGAATAGCTAGAAAAATATCCTAAATGATTGAAATATCCTACAACTATCTGTCATTGTGTTGTTCTGTGGTGGCCTGCATGTTGCTATTCTCCTAGAAGCTACGCCATCCATATTTTAAATACCAGCCAGGTTACCTATGGTGGACAGATTTCAGTGAAGCTTGAAGACTAAAACAGACTAGGAAGAAAGAGAGACAAACTACTGAATGCTTAAACACTGAAAACCTTTTGAAAAGCAGAAGAACATTGTCAGATATAGTGCTGGAAGATGAAAACATTATGAACAGCAGTAGAATATTGTCAGTTATGGTACCAGATGATACGCCCTTCAGGCTGGAAGGCATTTAAAATATGACAGGAGAAGTACAACTTCTCAAAGTACAACTGACCGTGATGACACAAATGGAG